AGGGATTTCAACTATGCTCAATTAGGGCCTTTGCCGGTAAGTGGTACAGTAATATACCGGACTATTGCAGGATATGCGAAGTTGCAGAAGAACTTGAGAAAGTTGAGCAATTAATTTGCTCAGGTTGAAATGGCGGGAAAGTAGATTCCATGACGAACTGGGAGAAATTGCCGCTGCATCTGATGCTCAGTTTGAAAATGCATCACAGAAGTGATAATGCGCAAAAAAACGTAAAAGCTCGCATTATAAAAATGTCTGATACGATAAATGAGTAGGTATTCAGATTTTGATTTGTTTTATGGACCAAGATATATTAATTATAAGGTAGTGTTATCAGAACAGCTGATCGTTTTTTTGCTATTATGTTCATTTTTCGCCCTGGTGTATAATTAATGTCAAACTTTGTTTACATTTTGTAAATGTCAAACTTTGTTTTCATTTTGTTAATGTCAAACTGGTTTCATTTTGTATATGTGAATTTTGTGATTAAAGTGAAATTGTGTGATTAGGGCATATTTTTGTGTTTTTAATCTTTAAAAGTTAAAACATCAAAATAAATTATAAACAGATTCAAATTTATAAACATTTTTTATTGAATATAAATTCGCTTTGATTTATTTGTCATCTATTTTTGAAAATTTTCCCTTACAGCAAATTCGCCATCAAGTGCAGGCACAATGTCAAACTACATATAAAAAAAATATAACCAATTCGCTTGGTATTCTGAATTCGCCGATGACACTACCTTATAAAATTAATATACCTTGTTATGGACCAAGATATATTAATTATATATCTTGTTATGGACTTTATTTTCATTTGTTCGTTTTTAAACGAAAGTAAAATGAGCATCAGCATCACAGGGATTTATTTCCGAAAAGGCCTAAGTTTTTTTTTAACTTGTATACAGATTGAAAGTATAATTGAAATAAATATATAACGATATTTTTATTATTAATTGTTTTTTTTTTTCATAATTTTGTTTTTCGCAATAAACACCTGTAACTTCTAAGTAGAAAAAAACTATAAATATATAAATACTTTTTAAAGGTAAATAAATGTAAATATTTGGTATTTTTTTTAAGGTTTTTATATAAAACCAATAAATGTCTTCATCTAGGAAGTATTTAATTAAGTTTTCAGATAAATTTCTGTTTATTGATAAAAAATGCTATAAGTTTTTTAATTTTCTCTTTTTGATTTCCTAATGGCAAGTACCTAATTTAAAAAAATGTTTATAATTTGATGGATTGTGTTCTAATTCAAATTTCAGTCTCATTGTTGTGACAAATTTTGCAAAATGTGCTGAAAAATTTTGGTTTGTTTAGGGCATAATTTTAAGATGAGCAGTTTACAAAGAGTCGAAGAACTATTAGAGATTTTAGGGAAATAAAAGTGAGATAAAGGAAATGTTGTTGTGATTTTAATTAGTAAGGTGCTTTTAATAAATTGTTGTTGGTTTTTATTATTTTGTGGTTTTTTATTACATTTAATTATAGTTTTTTTTAATAATTAATAATCATAATAATTGTTGGTATTAATATTTTGTTTTTAATTATTTTCTTAAATTTTTTTAAGTGCTAAATTTTAAATATTTTTTAATAGCTGTTGTTGATTTGTTTTTTTTTTTAATTATCTTTGTGGCTAAAGGTATACATAAATTTTAATATATAATATTTTATTTAATAATTAATTAAATTGAATAAATTTAAGGCAAATTAAAGTAAAGGGCACTAAGTAAATTTATGGGGAGCAGGGGAAAAGTTTGAAGTTATTAAGCAAAATTATAAAATTGTTTTAAAAAAGGCAAATGGTTTAATAAATTCGTTAATGTTTCATAGTTTTGAGAAAAATAATAAGAATGTAGTATTTAAATTTAAGAAAACAAAAAGCATAATAATAATTATAGACTGTAAAGAATAATACTGCAGTTTAAAATTAAAGCGGAAGCGGAATTTCATATTATTTTAATGTTGCAATTTTGCTATTACTTTTTAAAAGTCAGTTTTATAAATACTTAATTTATGTTATTTTTTTAATAAAAAAAAATTTTTTGTTTGTAATTAAGATTGCATAGAATTTGTATTGAACTTTAAGTTTAAAAAATTTAAAATTCATAAGAAATATTTTAATTTAAAATAAACATCCGAATGACTTGACTTTAGGAACTTTTTGAGAAAATTTTATCTTTAGAACGGTCCATAACGACTAATTCCTTTCGAATTCATTTTATTAGTCTGCACATATTACCGATTTCTCAAAGCAAAACAAAATTGTTATTCTTTGCCTGAAAAAGTTTTCCAAAACTTTTTGATCTCAGTTTTTGTTGCCATTTCCAACTAGTTAATCTAACGGGTCAACACTATGCAAACATTGTTTTTATTTTATAAATTTAATTGCAAATATGCAATAATTTATATAAAATAATTTAATTCGTCTAGTTTGCAATGTAGGGAAGGAATCCTTTTAAACATTTTTTAACACATTTACTTAGTAAATGATCAAGTATTTTTGGTTACCTAATCGTTGACTATTTAGTTCACTAGTCTATATGTTCAGATATCTGCTATCATTTTAACAGTGGACACTGTTTATCTATTAATTTGTTTTCTTTATCATCTTTTTCTTACACTATCTCCTTAATCCTTCTCTTCTCAGCTTTCTTTCCTACTATCTTTAAAGACAATACAAATGGACAGGCATTGAAAATTAAAATTTGAAAATGATACGAGATTTTTCCAAAAATAGTACTTTTATATGATTAAAAGTACTGAATTACATTTCAAAGTCTTTTGAGTAGTCTTTGAACTAGTCTATTGACTAGCCTGTTGATTAGTCTATAGACTAGTCCATTGACTAGTCTATTAGTTAGTGTATTTACTTGTCTGTGAACTAAACTGCTGACTAGTCTATGGACTATCGTATTGACTAGTCTACTGACTAGTCTATTGACTAGAGTTTTCCTAAACTATTGATTAGTCTATTGAGTTGTATGTGAACTATACTGTACACTTGTCTATGGACTATTGAAGAGTCAGTTAACTGAGCAAAAGTTTAAAAAAGTACTTAATATGTCATAGGAGTACTGCGGTACTTTTTCTATGTCAAAAAGTAGCTAAAAACACAATAAAACTGAATTTTCCATGCCTAGGAAAGGGACCCAGAGAAAACTTAATACCTGGTAGTAAACAGTCTGTGAAACCTAACCTATGTTTACATCTAAGAATTTTATCTAAAAGAATCTTTAGACATTTTGTTTCGAATTTCATCCTTTACAGCAGCTAGATCAATATAAAGTCGAAGGAAATATTCTTTTAAATACGAACCTAGGATAAGTTCTACCAAAGGGATTGCAAAGCGGTCCAGTGTAGTAAAATATATCACTGTCTTTAATTCAGTTATTCAAAACTTTATGAACTTGAACTTTGGCCAAAACATACTTCCGTTCTTAATGTCTTTAAACAATGATGAAGTATGTGTTTGCTTTTAGATTCCGAGGACTGTTATGTATTCCTTAAAGCCAGATAACGTTTGGAATTATTTAAGATTTTTAAAGTCTTATCTGGTAACAGAATTTAAAATACAGTTTGCAAAGATATTAAGTCTTAAAATGGACTTGGTATAAAACAGTCACTCCTATTCTGCATTTCGATTACGTTTTCGCATTCAGTTACGCTAAGATCGAAAATTGGTATTCCAAGAAAAAACGAAATCGTAAGAAAAAGAAGAAGCAATTCCATTTTATTTCAATGCTTTACGATTGTGTGTATTCTGCATTAGGATCGTAACTACGTTTTTGTAAGTTGTTGTTTTAGTGACGGAGCTTCGAATCGAAATGCAGAATACCAAAGTTGCCAAACGGAGAATGCAGAGTAGGGGTGAGTATGTTTTTAGCGAAAGGTTTGTTGTATGAAGGGGGATGAGGTGACATTGAACACTTAATAAATCGACTCGAAAATGCATTGAATCTCGATTCGGTTGGTTGCCGTTAAATTACTTATCTAACGACAAATTTCCAATACAATTTCTAAACAATCTCATAATGAAAACTTTTTAAATTAAAAAAAAAAAAACAATTAAACAAAAATAAATACCTGTGTTAAAAACTCAAAAATAAATAAAATAAAACCAAAAAAAAATTGTTTACATTTTTTTTTTATTTTTTATATATTTTATAAATACTTGCGAATACATTAATAATAATAAAAAAATGTTTTAAATTTTATAAGAAATTAAGTTGAGCAATTTAAAAACATGTAAAAAAAAATAATAATAAAAAATAATACACTGGGAAGAGTTAATGATTGAGTTTTCTTTTGTTATAAGAATTTTTTTGTTATAAAATTATTTTGTTTTTTTAACTTAACAGGAACAAAAAATGGATTTTTTTTCTTTTAAATACACAATGATTTTAAAATAAATAAATTAAAAAAACATAAACAAATTTCATTACAAAAAAATAGGAAAAGAAAGTTAAAATAAATAAACATGAATGAAATATTGAAATTATATATAAAAATCAAAAGAAAAAATATCTTTAATTAACACATACAAAAAGAAACATAAATTAAACAAAAAAATTTGACAAATTACTTTGACTGAGATTTAAATATTTTTATAATTTTTTTTATAATATTTGGAATAATATTTCTTTTTTTTTTTTTTGATTTTAAAGAGAATTGATATTTTTTTGTGTTTGTAATTTTTTTAAATATTTCTTTTTTTTGCATTTTATTTTTAAAAAAATTAGCTCAGTTTGAATCTGTTTAAGTTTCTTTAATTTCTTTTTTTTTGAGATTTTTTTAAGATTTAATTTATAAATCCTTTTTTGAAATATTTCCTCTTTCAATATATATTGTTGTATTATGTATGTAGTATGTATTGTGTGTATGTATTAGTAGTAAATATAAAATATATGCTTATATGACATTAAGTATATAGAGCATGCATATAAAAAATATAAATTGGAATTTGTTTTTTTTTCATAATATTTTTTTTCATTTCGAAATATATATATTTTTTCGTTTAAAAAACACAAACATAAAAATTTTAAAAAAAAATATAATATTTTCTTCAATGTACTACAATTAAACAAAACTCTTAACGACAAAAAATGTATAAAATTTAAAGAAAAACGAAGATTTTCGTAAAATATAGTTTTCGTTTTTTTTTTTTTTTTCTTTAAAAAAGAGACAAAGATAGAGAGAGTATGTTTGTTTCAAATACTTTTACATTGAATTTTTTGTTTTGTTTGATTTAAAAACTACTTTTAAGTAAAAAAGTTATTTTACAGCATTTGTATATAAATGGTAGAGTTAATTTCCCAACAAGGTGTTATTTAAAACGTTCCAAAATTTATAAACAAATGTTGTAATTTGTTTTTTTGTTTTTAAGATTTAAGATTCTTCACATACAATTAGGCTTTTTTATGGAGAAAAAAAGCTTTTGATGGTTTTTATATTTTATTTCCTAAAAAGGATTTAAAATTTTATTTGTTTTTTTTTAATATATTTTTTTATTAAATATTGATATAGAGGGCCTACCCTCATTTCGAAAGAAAACAGTTGTGTGTTGAAAGTTCGAAAGTCTTTGATGCTTTTTTCAAATTTGTTCGTTTAAGCATTTATTAAATCCATAGGAATTTGTTCATCTCTGGGTTCTAGTAATGATTGCTGCTGCTGTTGTTGCTGTTGCTCTTCAGTCTGCATAGGAATACTGGAATCACCATTTTGTTGTTGTTGTTGTTCGAGTTGCACAGCCTGTAAATCACCATTTTGGGGAGAAGTTTGTTGTTGTTCAGCGGGTGCAGCTATCTTTTCAGCAGTACCATTCAATTCCTTGTTAATGTTGGCATCGCCATTGGCAATAGCAGTTTTATCTACTGGCTTTCTAATGGGAGCCGGCTTAGCGGGAGGAGAGTCTGGTTTGGTAGTGTTAGAGGTTTTCGATTTTAAACCTCCAGCTGTGGTTGACTTTGTGGGTGTCCTGCCGGTGGCGGGTTTAGTAGGTGAAGACTTACGCAAAGGAGTACTGCTAGTTTTAGTAGTTGTGGTAGTGGTGGAGGCGGTAGTAGTGCCACCTACTGTCAGACGCCTAGTAGAGGTGGTAGTAGTAGTTGAGCTTGAGCTACTGGTAAATTTGGGAGCTGGACGTGCTGTGAAAGTTTTGCCAGCTGTGCTTGATACTGTCGATGTGGTAGGTTTTGTTCTGGAGGCCAATGTTGTAGCCGCTGTTTTGGTGACACCGTTTGTGGCAGTCAATTTAACAGGACTCTTGGCTGCAGTAGCAGTAGATGGAGCTGTTTTACGTACTTGCGAGGCTAAAGTAGACCGGGGAGATGTAGGTTTAAGTTTGGGTGCACCATTTGTTGCTGGCAAACCAAGTGTAGTGGGTTTAGCGGGAGCCGTAGCAGGACGTGGTTTAGCCAAAGGTCCATTTGTAGTTGCTGGTTTACGTGCAGTAGTAGTAGTGGTTGAAGACACAGTGCGTGGTGCTGTTGTGGGCCTAGTAGTAGTTGCTGGTTTAGACGCTGCTGTTGTTCGTGTAGTCGAAGTAGTGGTGGTTGTTTTAGACAACACTTTCGAGGCGGTAGTACTTGTAGCACTTAATGGTTTGCGAGCCGAAGTGGTGGTGGTAGTCTTGGCAATTGGTTTCTTCTCAGCAGGGGTAGCGGCCGGCTTAGCTGGAGCCGCACGTGGCTTGGCAGCTAAACCAACTGGTTTTTTAGCAGCTTCAACTGGTTTCTTAGTAGCTGTTGTAGTACCAACTTTAGGCTTAGCGGCCGTAGTTGTAGTCTTAGCCAAAGGTTTCTTTGCTGATTCCGTCTTAGTTTTTGAAGGTGAAGAAGCTGTTTTGGCAGCTACAGCAGCTGCAGTTGCGGCAACAGCAGCGGTAGCAGCTACCGCCACAGCCTCAACTGGCATATCAGCTTTTACTTCGGGAGTTTCAACTACTTCTTGTTTAACACTTTCTTCTGCTTCAGGCTTCACTTCCTCTACTGCTGGTTGCTTAACAGGCTCAGCAATTAATTCCTCAATGTGTTTTTGCTCTGTTTCCACTACTTCCTTTTCTTCGTGCTTAATCGTTTCAGTCTCATTTTGTTGCTCCATGGGTGGTTCCAATAGTTCAGCTGGAGCTGTTTCTGGCACCATACTTAGGGGTATTTCCAGTTTTTCTTCAGGTTTCTCTTCTGGTTTCTCTTCAATTAATTCTTCGGTTTTGGTTATAATTTCAGTCTCTTCGGTGGTGAAAAGTGGTGCAGAATGTTTAGCCTCAATTATGGGCTCTTCCACTGCCATCATTTCACTTTCTAATTCTTGTTGTTGCTGTTGCTCTATGGGAGATTCTATGGATTCAGAAATTTCAGCGGCTGCGTGAGGTTGTTCAATTTTTTTTCAAATGCTGGTTCATGTTGTTGCTCCTGTTCTTTTTGTTGTTGTTGTTGTTGCTCTTGTTCATGTTGTAATAGACATTCCTGTTCATGGCGATTAAATGAGTCATCTACCATCATGTGCTCTTCAATTGGTTCTTGTTGTTGTTGGTATTGTTCATGGTGTACGGCTTCATCGGGAGAAATGAGATTTTCCGATATATCTTCGATGGCAGTTGTAGCTGTTGTAGCGGCAACTTCCTCTGCCTAAAAGAACGAGAATAGGAAATAAAAATGTTAATTAAAATTCAGTTTGTAAATGTAAAATATTTTTGTTTCGCTTAATGGTATACCCACAATTGGGACGAACGACGAATTTCGTGTAGCACGACGAACTAGTCGACAAAAATTCGTTGCGTAAATTCGTCGAATGAAACACAATCAAATTATTCGTACTGCGAATTCGTTTCAAAATTTGTTTGTTCGAAATTGGAAAAAGTAAGAAACAGGAATTTTTTGTGAATCTCCACGATTTTGAGATAATTTTAACGGCTTAAAAATTTTTTCGAACATTATTTCGAAATTAGAAAATGTAAGAAAATGGCCTCGAAAAGAATTAAAATTATATTTTTGTGAATATCCCCAATTTTGAGATTATTTTAACAGCTTCAACATTTTTTCGAACATTACTTCGAATTTTCGAACTTAATTTTAAATACTCCAACATAGCATTGTAGTGTCATCAAGTGTACTCCAGACTGCCAAATTTCAGACAATTCGGGCCATGAGAACTGGTTTTAATGGCTTTAAAAATTTTTCGAACTTAAGTTCGAATTTTCGAAAATTTTACTTTTAGTTTTTATGACCCAGAGATTATTTTAAGAGCATAAACAAATTTTCGAACATAACTTCGAATTTTCGAATATAATTTCGAATTTTCGAACATAATATTGTATTGTCATTAGCTGTACTCACAACCGCCAAATTTCACCAAACCGAAATTCGTACGACGAATTTCGTCATACGCAATGATTGTGTACATTTTCATATACCCAAGTGTGTTCTATTTCTGACGACGAATATTCGTTCCTAAAAATTCGTCGTTCGTCCCAATTGTGCGTATACTATAAAGATATATAAAAAGTTTTTAATATACCAAACTTTACAATATGATGGAATAAAAAATACTTCCTGAAACAAACTTAAAAAATCTAAATAAAAATTCTGTGAAAATAATAAATTATATTTAAAGCTCATTATCTAATCTAGTATATTGAATATCACTGCTCATCAATTAAATGTCATATTTCTAAATGCATTTAATTATTTAAATAAGAAAGAATTTGGCGAATATTTACCGCACACCATCAACTATAATTTGATGGGAATTTTTAGTCATAAGTTAATTTTCAACTTGGTAGTTCATTGAAGTGATGTCTTAACAAAAATATTTGCCAAAAAATAATAAAAAAAAAAACAAAAATAAACTTTTTAAACAAACATAATTTACGTTATTTGCACTTTATTGCTAATGTGCATGTCAATATACAGTCAACGACAAAATAAAATACATATACATTTTCTTTTTTGCAAAATTTTATAAAATGAAAATTCAATATTTAATGAGAAATATTTAAAAAAAAATTTAAATATTGTTTTCTGCATTGAAATCTATTCTCTATTTTGAAATACATTCTTTTAAATTTATTTGGCTTATTTTTTGTCATTGTTTATAACTTTTTGCTAACACAATCAACTCTCTTTTTAATCATCTTTAACTCAAAAATATTTGTTTAACGAAAATTTGTTAAATATGTTTTTTTTTTCTCTAATTACCGGCAAACAGTAAAATAAAAAACAAAAATTAAAGAAAGGCGTTGTCTTAACTTAGTCATTTTTTCTTCTTTTTATACATATATAGAAAAAATATGTATAAGAAAAAAATAACAATTATTGAATATAAATGAATGGTTAAAGAAAACCAAATGAAAACATTTATATTTTATCAATAACCATAAAAAAACTATTAAATGGCTAATTGTATACCTTAAAGTTTTCTTAAGTTTAAAATATTGCATAAACCAAAAAAAAAAAAACCTTAACAAATTGGCAAATACTGAATATTAGCTTAAGCTTATTTACTTATTTTTGAAAATATTTTCTTAATTTTCTTTTTTATTGTTGCAAAAATTAATTAATTTTATTTAAATAGAATTTTTGTATAATTTTATTTTTATTATTATTTCCAAACAGGAAATGTAGAAATCGAGATTATGTTGATATTATAATAGATTCTAGTTAGAGACTAGCTGAGATGTGTTTTAACAAAATTTTTTTAGTTAACATCTTTAGTAGTTTGTGCTGGATTTTTTTTTCTTATAAGTTTTTATTTAGTGATTAAATCGCAAGTTCTTTTTAGTAATCATAGAAATGTAATTTCAGCTACAATCTGTTAACCACACAAATAATTAAAAGATTTCTTTCTTAAAGCATACCTAAAACTTTACTTGCAATGTTATTAAAAATATACATCGAAAAAGTCAAATCCAGCTTAAATTGGAGAGTAGTGTTGTGATTGCCTAAAAGGATCATGTACTCCAAGAGTTTTTATAGGGAAGTCCAAAAACTGTT